TTCCTTTCAGGGCTTCCGTATATCTCGGTCACGAGGCCGCAACAAAAATATTAAACAGAATATGAAGTGAAAAGAAACTGGAAAACAGGTTCATGTTAATATTTGAGCTTCATAAACTTTCAATGTTTAGTTGCAGATAATTCGATTTTCTGAGGGAAGTTTCTGGAAGGAGCCGAGGGAACAAAGGCTTTGCCTCCGGATCCATTCGGAGCAAAAAGGACAGAAAGGTGCATGAGGCGACTTTTCTCAGCGCAACCGAATCCCAGATATGATCAGGAAGGATTTACGCCTCCTCAGTCAACTAATGGGGAGTCCAAACCAGCCGAGATCATAAATAGTCCAGCAAAGGCCATTGGTGGTAGCAGGTGGTTTTTGGCTTTGTACGCACTTCCAACTTAAAAAAAAAAAAAAAGAGACAAAATGTTTACTGAAAATTTCTTGCAGCTTAGTCGAAAAGAAAAATAATGTTAATTTAATGTTTGAAGCTCTAAAAAAATTGTCGAAAAATTATTTTACAAAACCACACCAGACATTTACCAAACAATCCAGCTGCACCTGGTGTTTTCTTAATTACTCCAATTAATGGGAGGGTCTAACAACGTAATCTAAACAATTCCAAATATAAAAAATAACACATTTAAATCTAATTTAACTTAAATATATTCTGCCTACCAAAAGAAGAAAACTAAAGTGGTAGAAATTACACAAATTTAGCATAAATGGCCAAAACATTGATCATAACTCTCTCTTCACATTTTGCTGTTTATCATTAAAAAGAGACGGAATTCAGCTTCTTAAAAAACAAGAGGCACCAGCAGGATTACATTTTAGCTTTTTGTACAATTTGATTTCCCACATTAGGGAATTCTCAGATCTTTATATGCGAACCAGTTATATTTCATTTCCTACACCAGAGAACAAAGACATGATTTTATTTAATCCTGACCTATCTCTATACTTATGCTACTATCGGCTTAGGCTGCTGGAGGACGTAGGGACCACTTTTCTTGTCTCTTCTTCATTCTGCCCTGAACTTTATGCTCTCTATCCCTTTCCTCATGTTGGTAGCCTTATTTAGTCCATTCCTGTTTGACTGCGACTCCATCCTGGAGAGAAATATGATCCTTTGAACTCAGAGCTCATCTGCATTAGCTTTACTGGACCAAACCACCTGTAGAGCGAGTTTACCGTCACCGTCTGTAACGTAAAGACCTACCATTGCTGCATGCATGAGACTCAATGAGTCGATGCAATCAGCTGGTTTTCCTTTATAGAAAACTGAACCAATCAGACTGGATGATCTGGTTGAATTGTCTGTAAAGCGACCTGAGATGAATTGAAAGTTCTAGTTCTAATTTCTCAAACTTTTCTTCCAGATTCAACCTTCTTTCCGGGTCGCTGTGCTGAGATCTTTCTCCGAGGGAAGAGCGTAGGACGGCTGGGAGTCCTTCACCCTGACGTCATCGGCCGCTTCGAGCTCACGCTGCCCTGCTCAGCGCTGGAGATGGACATCGAGCCTTTCCTGTGATTTCCCCTCCCTACCCCTCTAGCAGGAAGTGTGCTTGCGTTGTGTTGATGGGCTGTGATGTTTTCCACCGAATTAAAAATGAGCAGAAGTTGTTTGTGTTGCAGTCGGCGTGGGTTTGTGCATGCATGCTCGTGGTGCGGAGAATAAAGTCAGTGACTCGTGTGTTGCTTTGATTCTTTCAGTGGCCGCACGGCTGAAGCCCTCCTCACACATGACGTTCCCATGCAGGAAACCGCCAAGCACCAGTTCCCGGCACGCCGCCACCCCCAGCCCGCTCTGCCATCCCGCCCGCCTACCACTAAAACTGTATTTGGAGACATGAGCTCACAGGCAGGCCTCAAAGCGCTCGATGAGTTCCTGGCCGACAGAAGCTACATCGAGGGTTTCACGGCGTCCCAGGCTGACGCCGCGGTGTTCGATGCCATCCCCTCGCCTCCCCCGCAGGCCTTCGTCCACCTCCGGCGCTGGTACAGCCACATCAAGTCCTTCCAGACAGAGAGGGCGCTTCTTCCGTCCGCCAAGAGTGAGTTTGTTCTCCCACCCGCTCCCTCCGCCTCCAGTGAAGATGACATCGACCTTTTTGGATCCGACGACGAGGAAGAGAGCGCCGAGGCGGCCAGAATCCGGGAGCAGCGCCTCGCCGCGTACGCCGCCAAGAAGTCCAAGAAGCCGGCGCTCGTTGCCAAGTCGTCCATCCTGCTGGATGTCAAGCCCTGGGATGATGAGACGGACATGGCAAAGCTGGAGGAGTGCGTGCGCAGCGTGGCCATGGAGGGCCTGCTGTGGGGGCGGTCCAAGCTGGTGCCAGTGGGCTACGGCATCAAGAAGCTGCAGATCGGCTGCGTGGTGGAGGACGATAAGGTGGGAACAGACCTGCTGGAGGAAGCCATCACCGCCTTCCAGGAATACGTTCAGTCTGTAGATGTGGCGGCCTTCAATAAGATCTGATCTGGGCAGAATGAACTGATTTCACTGGCTGGAATATGGAGCTTTGCTGAATAAAGATCTGTGGTTTGAAGCATGCTGATGTTCGGCTGAGCGTTCTTCTTCTGTCCGGCCTGATTCAGCTTGGTTTGCAGCTCTGAGGTAAACCGCTGCAGGCGGTGAGGCATCATGCTGAGGGGATCCATGCAGCCGAAGTCTGACGGGTCTGTCAGCAGGACTGGCAGCGCGAACGGACCAGTCTATAAACTTCCTCACTTTTTATTGGTTCCTCTTTATGCTCTAAATAACAGCTCTATAAACTTAAAAATGTTACCTTTAAAGGTATTTATTTAAATGCCAAATCATTCTGGCTTAAACTTGTTTATAAATGTACTCTTTATCAAACCATATTGTCCCAAAAGTTAGAAAATTTCTATTTAAAACAAAAATCCTGCCTTAAAATCTGTATAAACAATACAAACAATATAAAGCTTTGAAATCCATGTTATTTCTGACATTTTGAATTGGAAAAGTTTCCTGGATAGGAAGAGAAACGTCTCAAAACTTGGAAACCAAGTCCAGTGGATATTTTTTAACATTTTCTAGAGCTCACATCCTTAGCAGAAGCTAACGTGAAATTATAATCTGATGCTAATGAACGACTGTTATACGTAGTCGTAGGGAAAGCATATTTAAACGT